AGAAGTCATTTTTCTTGTAACGGTTATCTTGTTGACAGACGTTACACATTATACGCGATATATGTGAGCTGTATGCCATGTAAATAGCCGTAAAGCCGATCTTTGTCCATGAATAATCAACGCACCCTAGAGACTGTGTTTATTCTTCTGTATGTCGCTGTGGCATTTCGAAAAAGGTAATATTTTATCAAAACGAGAGTGTTGAGCGTGATTCTTTGAAAATGAAACAATGAAAAACAACTTGAGAAAGCAAAATGTATTAACACGTCTTTCAAATTTTGAAAATACGATGTGATTACTTGAAGTGTGATGTAATTCATGCGCTTTCAAATACATTTAAAACACTAATTCAGTATCACTCCGCAATAAATGAACACAGTTCTAGATGTAGCCCAGAAAATATGACTTCCTTGGACCCATTACACAAAGCAGTCGTACAGACCGAAGGCTGTCATGAGTCTTTGTCTCAGCTTGCCCTTGAAACCGGACCGTGGTCACTCTTACCATGCAGGGAAAGACCTCTACTTGCTATATGGCATTTCCCATTTATCGGAAAACTGAGACATTTAAAATATTTTATATGAGAACTAAAGAATGTCCACAAAACAAACGCCGTTTAATGTGTATAACATGGTTTTTTAGGTATGACAATCAGCCTACGTCATTTCGTCTGTTTGTGACGTTAACCTTGACACGTTTCCGCGTGCAGTTATCGCTCCTGTCAAAATCAACACCGCGCGTGTATTTCTTATTACTCGAATATCATCCAGTGAGCAGAGCGGTGTTTGTAATTACTGGTGTGATACGGCGTGTTACTGCATCTCCCGGCGTATATATCACATACCGTATCGACACATGAGCGAGCACCTCAGTCAGGAATGCTTATGCAGCGCGTGCTTACCCCCGCCAATCTGCAGGTGCGAGGCGGGCATGTTTGTTTCGTGTTTTACGAATCACGCGAACGTATGCCGACAGGGGGTTTCATTATTACACAGTACAACTTTCTATTGGAAGTGTTCTATTTTCTTGCTAGTCGCCGCACTCAATATTCCAGCTGTATGGCGTCTGTAAATAATCAAGTCAGGACCAGACAATCCAGTGACTGACTTTATGAACGGGATACGATGACATGCATCAACATGGATTGCTGAAGACCAGTTCTAAACCGGATCTTCACGGTCTCCATAAGAAATGTACAACACCATTGCATTCACGACTTGGAATCGGTTCCATCCATTAAAACCTATTATATTGTTGATGTTCTTTGTCACGAGGTTTTCAATATATACGGCAAAGATTTTTTGTTCATTCTAAAAAAAATAAATGTTCAAATTTCCGAGAACTATGGAATGGAAGTGGTCAGTTTGAAACAAGCGCCGTACAGCCCGAACTATCCGCTTTCCGACTGGTAGATGTCGATTTCTAGTTATTCATTTCACTGAGCGGTCAAAGTTTGCAAAAGTCGTTCTGATGTCACTGTAGCGGTACAACCTCTAATCCTTTATAAATTGTAGCTTGAGCTAAGATCTAAATTTAATGACATTGCAACGCAACAGATCGAGTGAGAAGGGTTTAACGGCGATTCAAGGATCATTGCGCCAATAAGACGGTCATGCACTGGATCTGTTTAACACTGTTAAAACATCTTTGAGAGCCATTTTAGAAGTTGTATAGATGAAGGAAAACCAGACTTGCTTGATAACGGTGTTAGTAGCCTACCTACACAGAAACGTCGCACTCATTGCAATATAGAAGTTGACTATCCATAGATCTTGGTTTTCCTGTTAAAACATGCTAGCAGGGATATGGTGCTGGAAAACCAAAACATATATGACTGGTTTTGAACCCTGGACCAGCGCTGAGAGAGTATTATACCACTTGACCTCAGTCACAAATCCGGAAGTGCGTTGTATAAGGGTTGCTTATGAAACCGTTGCCATTTCAAACCCTCTCAACCAGTCAACAAATTAACATTGGTATCAATTTCGTGAAGAAGACAAGTACAAGATTACAGCACACTGCTGAATAATATTACCATCCCAGATTTCACTAACCGACATAACTGCCGTTTAAATGGTAGTCTTTAATAAAGATGATTATTTCAGCCTTAAACTACACGCCATGGCGCTATAACAATTCAAATTGTGACATCAAAGATGGCTAGATAGGGTGTAATTCATACAGATCAAGTTAACCAGTGATATCATTTCCTCGTCTAAGTAGGCGAGTGTCGTGACAACACTGCATTCGGTTACCACAATCACGTTTAAGCCAAATAGACCTGAAACAATCAGAACGTTAACCGACCACGAGTAACGTGAAGTCAATATGGCTTCCTTACGGGTGAATTCCTGCCGTCTTTTGGGGACATGGGCAATGGCGGATCCAGAAAGAGAAGAGGGGTTGCTGCTGTTAGGGGGTCGAACCCCCCTTTTGAAAATGACTTAAGATCACATTGAAGATTTGTTTTTGCGTTCGAACACCCTGAACCCCCTCCTTTCAAAATTCCTGGATCCGCCCATGCATGGGGATTGTATATTATGAAACAAATCACAAGAATTATTATATTATATTAATTTCAATGTAGATGTCCGTGGGTAGAAAGCGACGCTTGGTGGTACCCCTTGAGTCTTGTGAATCAGTCACTGACCTGGTCACGTGTCAGCTTCAGGTCATGGTGGTTCAAATTCCACGCCATTATCTTTCGTTTGGCAGGTACAGAATACGTCATTGTCTCTTCAAATACAGCCACAGTAGACGTCATTGTCTCTTCTCGTACAGCTACAGTAGACGTCATTGTCTCTTATCGTACAGCTACAGTTGACGTCATTGTCTCTTCTCGTACAGCTACAGTTGACGTCATTGTCTCTTCTCGTACAGCTACAGTTGACGTCATTGTCTCTTCTCGTACAGCTACAGTTGACGTCATTGTCTCTATTTGAAAAGCTCTTGCTCAAACGAATTGAAAAATAAATTGCTTAAATCAAATCCGGACTTTCCTGATAAGTTACAATTTGATTTCGAAAAGAGCATGGAGCCATAATGTCTGTGTTTACTCTCATGGAGAGTATACAATACTATAACCATAGAGATTCCCCTGTCTTTACAGCCTTTCTCGACAATGCAAAAGCATTCGACAGAATTTGGCATGATGGTTTATTCAATAAGCTTCATGAACTTGGTATGAGAGGTAATACATGGAAACTCTTACATCACTGTTATACCAATAGCCAATCATTTGCTGCATACCACGGCGAGAGGTCAAAAATGTACTTGGTCAAACAAGGTGTTGGACAAGGGAGGGTTATATCCTCTTGGTTTATTTCTAATTTTTATTAATGACCTAATTACATCTTTAAGAGAAGCTGGCTTTGGTATCCGTGTCTTTGGTATGGACGTTCCAACTGTCTTGCTTGCTGACGATACTACACTCATAAGCACATCCCCTAATGGCCTACAGGCATCACTTGATATTGTCTCTTCATACGCTTCTAAATGGCGTCTAACATGTAACCCATCAAAAAGTACCATCATCGTTTTTAGCAAAAGAAAAGGCTCTGACGTAAACGTCCACTGTAGCATTGGTAACATCCCAATCCCCTTATCAGAATCTACCGTATATGGGGGTGTACTCTTTACAAGTAACCTCTCAACAAAAACTAGAAGTGAAAAGTATTGTCAGAAAGCAAGACAGAATGTAAACTCACTTAGATCTATTGGACTGAATTATTCTGGCCTACATCCAATCACTTGTGTTAAAATATGGCTCAGAATGATTCTTAAAACTAGTTTCTATGGCTGTGAAGTATTACCAAACATCAAAGTCCAACAGGCTGACACCTTTGAACAAACACAAAGATACTTTGCTCGTCTTGTGCAAGGTCTTGGTAAGAGGTCATCATCAATATCTACCATTGCAAATTTGGGATTATGGTCACTAATTGGGTATATCGATAAATGTAAACTGCTATTTCTTGGGCGACTATGTAACACTGAGTGTAACAACTTTTTAAAACAGATCTTTTGTGCTGCTATTACAACTTCAGTAAAATCTAACAACATCTGTGATGATCTTTTAACAATATCGGAAAAGTATAATCTAAATACATATGTTGACAGTTATCTTGCCCAAGGCATATTTCCTCCAAAACGTGTATAGAGAAGAATTGTAAATGCTACTGTATAGTTATGAAGAACAATTATGGCGATCACAAACTCTCTATCGTTCAAACATGTCATTCTCATCAACAACTCATACTACACTCTCTTATCATACTCTCTGGCAACTGGCATATAAACACCCTAATTATAAATCTTTCTTGCAATTTTGTGTAAAAATATTATCAAGAGGTAAAATCTCAAAAGAGTGTGCTCTTTGTAATAAACAAACCTTTGACAATGATTTCCATATGCTTCTCCACTGTGAAAACTTAATACAACAACGAAATGATTTCTTTGCATACTTAATTGATAAACTTGATGTTGAAACTTACGTAAAATTTGAAATGCAAGGTGAACAAGATATGTTGTCACTTCTCTTCGGAGCAGAAAACGACTTTTATAACTCTATAGATTCAACACTATGGGAAACCATACTGTTACGCTTTTCTTTGTATGTATATGACCTGAAACCTCACCTTGTGAACTGTTATACAGAATGATTCTCTTCATGTCATAAATTTCTGTACATATGTCTCTAAACATCCAATTGTCAATATTCATGTAGGTGTTGTAATAATATGATGCTTTTGTTTGTAATCTTCGGTAACTACTGGAGGAAATACAGACTGTCTCTCTCTCTCTCTCTCTCTCTCTCTCTCTCTCTCTCTCTGTCAAGCAAACATCTCTCTCTCTCTCTCTCTCTCTCTCTCTCTCGATATGTTCTCTCTCACACAGGTACACGACGATTAAATACAAGCAAAGAGAAACGACAGTACAGTGAAAAAAAGCGACAAGGCTAAAAGCTTCCTCTCTTGTTTTCCCTCCACTATGTGTTGCAGGAGTTAAAGGCAGTGACAGATTGAACACCGTCACAGGTCCTGGAGGTTTCCAACGTCGGCAGGGACGACGCGGGATGGGAGTTGTGTGTCAGTCTATGGTGAACCCCCGGGTGTGGGGAAAGGTCAGTGTTAGACAATCACTTTGTAATCTACGGCAATCACACTGACACTGTTCCCTCTCATCTAAACCTTTGAACTTCTAACACTTGACTGCCTGTCTCTCACAGACCCAACTACCGTCTGGTGACATCACGGTAAATTATGGAGCAAGTGTTACCGGGGAGGGGAGATAGGGGTGGGGAACTGGGGCGTAATAGTCGCCTGGGAGCGTAATAATCACATATACATCATTTGTAATATCGGTGTTAAAGAGTTCACTTCAGTGCAGTGATATTACATAGTTAGGGTTATGTCCCTTTAAATCACATCGGATGCACTGGTTTGGTTACTAAAGTAAATCCGTTTGCGTATTATGATGTCCGTATGTCTCTCAGCGTTTCAGAGGTATACCGAATATGTCTGTCACTGTACTAAGGCAGGTCTGTTGGTATAACAGGGTACAGACTAGGCCAGGCCGTGTTTGCACGTGTCATACACGTTATCACAAAGTACTGTACTCACACCTGCAGCTGCACGTACAGTCTCTGAATATATGTAATTTTGATAGTAAGAAATAACCCCATTTATATTGAAAAGGAGCCCCAGTGAGATGGGAGATTCTAACCTGAGGAAATCTAGACTTGCTTCATTTATGACTTTAGCATTGCAGGGAGGGCTAGGTAGTAGGGCAAATAATGAGGTTCCGGGACTGTGAGACAGACATGACGTAAGGCACCGAGACACAGAAGAAATGAAACATGGAATCTTCTTTATTCGCGACCGAAGAGCAGCAGAATGAGTATGTGTCGCATAGCTACAGATACAAGTCTTCTAGATTACTTTGCCGCCACAACGTAATGCAACAGTTTTTAAATGGAAATTTATTCATTTGAAGACAAATTGTAATACATATTTGCGGGATCTACCCCATTGCGGAAGGCACAACATAGATGTGACTGAGAATGTTCAGAACACACCACAACAACCTCTGACTTAACACACACAACAACTGCAAGATTCCCCTTCCATCTTGTGTATGCCAATCCAACGCGCCCCGTTAAAAATAAGATATACATCTATTTGAAATATTTTACCGCTGAGGCTAAATCGAACACGTGCAGGGTAAAGGAACATAGCACCGCTGTAAAGGTCTGGGTTTGTCTGGAAACTTCGCAATATCAACTCGTGAATCACGACACATGCTGATCAGAAATTCAATCCTGTTATAATTGCATTCACTCGTTCCTGCGAAAGGAGATAATAAATTAAGATGTTCTTTTTGTGGGTATATCAAAATTGCGCTTCGGAAAATATAACGAAACGAAGGTTTTTAGTAGCATGTATCAAGGGGGAAAACTGAAACGGAAATAGGGGACGGCGAGGGATGCGGGGAGGTGGAATATGAGCGAATATCAAACTGTATGCTGATGTATCGCACAAGTTGGAGCTTTTTTCACTTCCCGACAGTTTTTCTGCGCCAACAGCAAAAGATAAGAACACGCGAGTATCGAATCGGCTGGCTGATTACAAGATTTGATAGAAAGGCTGCTCTCTGGTATACGATAACATTCGCTGAATGAAGGAGTAACAGTCTCTGCTGATAGATTTGTTATATTTGGATATATTTTTTTCAGCCTCGTTCAGGTACCACGAGATTTATGACGTATGACAATGGATCGTAACTCCGTCGGCGTTGCATTGTTTTACACACTGAACTGTTAGATAATAGTGCGATATATGCTGTTCCGAGATGAAAGATGGTTCACAAGGCAAAGTAGATCTGAACCTCTGGCTGACGATGTCACCGACTTTTTGCAAGCAATGAAAACTGACACGGCTTGTGTTATCGTCGTTAATATGACGTCTTTATTTGCTTTTGAGATTGGCTTCTTGTAAAACTAGGAATGTTGAAAGTGACGAAAAGAAGGAATAGTGCGTGCGTATCCATCTGTTTTTGAAAATAAAAAATGCTTTACAAATCGTCCATTATCTGCAGTAATGTCTGAGATGGGCGGATAACGGCCTGGAGGATGGCTATAACATTTAAATGTGAATGATTAAACACGTGTAAAAGGTGTCTTGTATATATCACCATATGTGTAGGATCTGCATTAAACATTAACAACGAAAGAAGTATTACTGATATGTTTCCTTGACTTTCCAACAAGTCCTGTCACTGTCACTGAATACCATGTTTTATAATACCACATTTTTTCATACCTTTAAAAAGAAACAAGTCATTTTCCGTGTTGTCCTCTAGTATGGGAACACTGTAATGTCCAATCACTTTTACCGATATACCTACTCGATCCGATCTATTTCTAAGCACTATTAGATGTTTTAGAAAATATGCCACGCAATACTCTGCTGTATCAAATTACATCAAGATATTTAAAAACACCAATCGCATTAAACACATCCAAAATGTTTCTGTTTTGATAGTACTCCCGGCCTGGAGTACATCAGGCGAATATCCTGAACATGTATTAAACGTGTGAAACAGCCCTGTGAAACCTAATGCATATTAATGTTTCGCCCGCTGTGGTCGTGATTCTACCTTGAGAAATGCGCACCTCTTTGTCTAGAAACCACATAATGTAAGTAATCCACGGACATTTGGAACAACGTAATGAAACAAAGCATTTTGCCGTTGTGCCGGCTCGTTCTTCAAAGTGCCAGAAACAGGTCTCCAGCAAAAATGTGGAAAAACAGATTGAATAATTCAGAGAAATATCACTGTGTTGTATTAGAAGGAATCTTCTGGCGTCAGCTAGGTGCAGTCGCAGTCAGAGACGGGCACGCTGACAACCACAAAGGCAGAAAACATTTAAAATTTGAATGATTTTCACAAATTACACGAAATGTCACCACTTAATAATTTATCTTCCGTGTCGTAAATTTTGGTCACTTATGAAGGGAACGTCTAATAGGGAAAGTCTATTTTTCTTATAAATATTAATATTTTTTAAATTTCAATTATCATTTTTGTAATTCAAATGAGTACAATCAAGTTAATGTTTGTGACGATTTCCTGTTGTAGAACATTTTAACTAACAATAAAAACATCATTGGAGGGAACTAAGATTAAACATTGCAATAAAAATAACGTACATACGGGTTGATCTGAAGGGAGGAATGTCACAAGTTCAAGTGCTCGAGCAGTGAAAGGTAAGATACGGGTTAATTCTACATCCTGTCCACACCGGAAGGGCAGAAATCATAACCTGTTGAGCAGGAGCTTCGTGGAGCCGAATTCGCCGAGACTTGAATTGGGCGTTATTTCAGATAAATGTTTCTCACTCGTCAGTGCCGTCTTTATGAGTAGTTGAGAGTGTATCTTAACCCGAAGTGTGAAGTTTACGACACAGACTCTCTTTTATCATACGCTGCAGCGACCTGAGCAACGCGCGGTTAATACTGCCGAGATAAACACTACGAGGTGTTCACCGGGGATGTTATCAAGATGGGGAAAAGTGATATATTTTATTAAAATATATATGCTCGAAAATACGATGACTTCTGATAAACTGTATATGTTGCCCTGCTTATCTTGTTCCAGACTGACGAAATTGGATTAACAAATGTTTTAGCTTTCACCCTCAATGTCATTCCAAAGAAATCCTCCTTTGATTTATTCACCGTTTCAACTGGAAATCTTTGCATTAGTAGATATTTTTTTTAATTTCTACTCGTATAAATGGTAACTGATGCCATCATATGAACAATATTATTTTGTTCGTACCTCTTTTTGCATGTACTTCATTACAGTGATTTATTATGACATACACATACTAATTATATGAAACTGGGAATTTTTCATTTCAGTTCTAAAAAATGTAACACACAAATGGCATATTTACCTTTTGTTGATGGATCTAGGATTCATGTTTTCTCTATATTCCCTTTATTCCTGGAATTGCTCATGTTGTGGAATATTCCTTCAATATTGGCGCTACAGGCAACCGCGTAACTGTCGGAATAAATCCTTAGCACGATGTGAATTACTCTAACGTGGGGATCGTTGGGCCCTCACATATATATACATTAACAGATGGGTAAATAAGCCCCTAACAAAATTACTCTCCAAACGACGAGACCAAAGCTTCGCGCCAAGCGAGCGATATCGTCTGCTTGTCGAAAATCTCATCTGCTGTGCAGTATTGGAAGAGAAGCAGACGAGTTGTGATGGGTGTTTGACAGATTCAGATCGAGATTGGAGAAATAATGACAACGGCATTGCATAATTACTACTATTTATCGCCGACTTTGGGGAAGATTATGACTGCGCTGAGCCGGAGTGAGTTATAATAGCTAACGAGCGAGATGAAGATATCTCCGCGGGAAGGAGGGAGGGAAGGAGGGGAGATGGGTGACAGTGAGGGTCGAAGGAGGGTTGGGGAAGAAGAAAGAGCACGGATATGGGGAGGGACGGATAATACGTTTCGGATTTGAGGTTTGGGATACATGTGAAGGGTGCGAGTAGGAGGGTTGTGAGAGATGCGGCAGGGTTTGCGATGTTGAGGGATAGGAAAAGAAGATCTACAGTGAACAAAATACGTAGTTGTTTGGGTGTGGTCGAGAGAGAGTTGCCAGGCGACGGGAGGGAGACACGAGATATACAGAGGGAGGTTGAATCACAAAGAAACCAATATCATTTGCCTCCTGAACTGATAAATGAAATATTTCTTTCGAGCTGGTTGCTGTCCTGTTACAATGTGTAACTGCAAGCAGTGATGAACTGACGAGGTTCTAGCACAATCGGACGGTTAGGTGACAGCCAGGTGCTTTGTGTGTCAGCACTGGCGTGTTTTTATACGTACACGTGGAGCCATCAGTGTGACGGTACCATCGCATCCCGCCTTGGAGGATCCTGACAAATGAGGACGTGGAAACAATCAGTTGTTGATGACATTGCCAGCCTCGCGATACACGTGTCCAGTACTAGCACAGCATGGGTTCGAATCTCTGATGATCTAAGTAATAGGCTGGGGCCAACAGAGTAGGGTTTACATTGCAGTACTGATTAGGATTTACATCCAAGCAAATATTAGGGTTACATTGAAAAATTGATTACATATAAATTCAAGCACTGATTAGGGTGTACATTCAAACACTGATTATGATTTACAATCAAGCACACATCCCTGATTTAGATCTACATTCATGTACTGATTTGGATTTACTATCAAGCATAGATTTACATTTAAATTCAAGCGCTGATTATGACTGACAATCTTCACAGTTTACGGTTACATTCAAGCACTGATTAGGTCTGACATTCTCTCAGTTTACGGTTAGATTCAAGCACTGATTAGGACTGATATTCTTCACAGTTTACGACTATATTCAAGCACTGATTAGGACTGATATTCTTCACAGTTTACGATTACATTCAAGCACTGATTAGGACATGACATTCTTCTCAGTTTACGGTTACATTCAAGCACTGATTAGGACTTACATTCTTCACAGTTTACGGTTACATTCAAGCACTGATAAGGACTTACATTCTTCAAGCACTGATACAGGACTGATTACTTACATTCACAGTTTATGGTTACATTCAAGCACTGATAAGGACTTACATTCTTCACAGTTTATGGTTACATTCAAGCACTGATAAGGACTGACATTCTTCACAGTTTACGGTTACATTCAAGCACTGATAAGGACTGACATTCTTCACAGTTTACGGTTACATTCAAGCACTGATAAGGACTTACATATTTCACAGTTTACGGTTACATTCAAGCACTGATAAGGACTTAGATTCTTCACAGTTTACGGTTATATTCAAGCACTGATTAGGACTGAGGTGAGGTGGGGTGAAATTGGGTTTAACGTCGTGCCTGAGAATATTTCGCTCATATGACGACGTGAATGCTTGTGTATGTGTAAGTGCGGCTGCTTGTACTAGCCCAGGCTGAAGCTGGTTTAATAGTGCTAGCCCACTGAGACACCATGACGCAGTGAAGCATGAATACCCCACTCAGACACATTATACTGACTCCGAGCCGACCAGTCCTTGTTGTACCCATTAATGCCGAGCGTCAGGCAGGGACCAACAAGTACCATATTTTAACGTCGTTTGGTATGACGCGGTCGGGGATCGAACCCGCGACCTTCCGCTCTCCGGGCGGACGCTCTAAGATTAGGACTGAGAATGCTAATCTCATTAGTGTATAGTAATTCTATCCTTTAAAGAGGCAAGTCTAGATAAGTGGACAGACCCCAATCCGTTAGAGGAATATTTATATTTTATAGAAATTTTCATTTAAACTATTAATTATTACCTCAGAGACTTGTGCAAGGACTGACAGTCTCCACAGTTTACGGTTACACTAAAGCACGGGATACTGTTACAACCCAGCACAGAGAAGCGTTAATCAAACAGTCATTATGATATGTACATTTCAGAACAAATTAGGATTTACGTTCTAGCACAGATGTACCAGTGGTCTGTGATGAAATATAACTTTGGATTATGACTAATTAGTTCTAAGTAGAGAGTGGAAAAGTTACCTGAGTATGTAAATGCCGCTCTGTTAATGGTTCATCTTCTATGTGTAGTTCATAAGTACATACACAACAATAGCCTTGTGGGGAGATGACACATCGAAGTTGGAAAGCCCGAGTAGTGAGAGATACAGTGAATCTATCATGCTGCCACTGTCTTTAGTATAAGATACCAAGTCTTTACATAAGATAAGATACCAAGAACAGGAGGCCAGTGACGAATGTGGGGAGTAATATTTTGTGTCCTTCGCTGTGACGAATTTAAGTGATCTATTGCTAAAAGCGGCGAAAACCCCTCTAAGCTACTCATCCAAACTAGAATAAACCCTACCTAGTCTAAAAAAACCAGTAACACCCACCCGACTTCGACCCGACCCCCACCTAACCTCCACCCGACACCACCCACCCTAGCACCACAGAAACCCCACCAGATCCCCACCTACAGCACTGCACCCAACCATACCCATG